TGCAGGAACACGTGTACGGCACCGCCCCTCCCCTCCAGTCTCGCCCTACACACCCAGATGACGAGAAGCGGCCGCTCATTACACAACTTTACAGCAACAGAGCGAAAGCGTGGAGGCTGCAGTTATCACGGTATTTTTAGATTCTTATCGCCTTCAGAAAGTGAAAAAACAAAAAAACAATGTCCTATACAAAATTCGTGGCATCACTTGTTCGGGCATCCTCGGGAAATGTCAGTAAAATGCGCGTTTCACCTGCAAGATGTCGGTCAACCGTCGCATCTCCCAGGAGCCAGGAAGAGAAGAAGCAGGAGCAGATGGACGGGTGCCCTGTGGTCCAAGCTGAGCCGGTTGAACTTATCAGTCAGACCAAGAACGCCACAGATGTCCACCTGAACAAAATTCACATCGACTTCGACAACACGGAGGAAGCCTACAAAAGCAAGCGTAGCGTTGAGCTCCTACGGAGCTTGCTCGTCTTCAACCTGTGCGCTGTCGATTTCCTCGTTGAGAAGAACAAAGAGGTGAGTTATTTGTTTTTCTGCTCAGCGACATCTCACTGTGAATGCCGACAAAGAAGTTGTGTTGTTCTGTTTTTTCAGCTGATGGAGCTGAGCAAGAAGCTGCTGGGTCAGCGGGGGTTTGAGAAGCTGATGAAGATGACCTTCTACGGTCAGTTTGTGGCAGGTGAAGACCACAACTCTATTAAACCCTTAATTCACAAGAACCAGGCGTTCGGTGTGGGGGCAGTTCTGGACTACAGTGTGGAAGAGGACTTGACACGAGAGGAGGCAGAAAAGAAGGAAATGGAGTAAGTGGATGCCTACCTGTCTTTTCCACACAAACAGCAGTTACACAATAATTATATAATATGCAAACTACATGAAAAACCAGTTGAGATGAGTGTATTTGTATAACCCATCCCAATTTCAAAGAGTGTTTTGACTGTGTCTATAAGGGCGTAACTGGGCTCTCAGATACAGTGCTTTAAAAGGGTGTAACTGTGTTTGTGACAACAAGAAATGCGCACTAAGTTAACCCTTGAGTTCAGGATTCTATAAAAGGAAGAGCCTGTGGACGGCCCATCCATCCACAGCTGTAACAGGAGCTGCATGTTTGGCAAACAGCTTACAGGAATAACATAAAATAGCACCGACACACACTTTATGAACTAAATAATTGATATATATTTAACAGGTGACAGGGTTACACATGGATGTCCAGAGTGAATCAACTCATAGTTGCTCAAAAACAATGCTTGTTTTGTCTGTTTATGATTCTAAATTACAAATGTAGACCAAGCAAAAAGCCTGGGACTCGGGTAAATAAAACTGTATGCCCAGGTGGGGTGTATGCCCAGTTTTAGGGCTGGTCGTTGCCCCGGCCCCCCCATGGTGGCGTCCCTGCAGGTCTGCAGCTAATCTTGCCCTTGGCTTTTACTACAGGAACAGGTTCAAACATACAAAACTTCTTTAAACTACAGCTTGATCGCTTCCTGTTTAATCCTTTTACGATCTGGTATGTTGTTTTTTTGACATTTAGGATTTATAAAATATTCCAGTGATGCGTTGTGATTTAGTATCAGTCTGCTCTTATCTCCACTTCAGCTTCTGTTGTGATATCAGAGTCATGTGATTCATTCACAGAACGTTTCCAGCTCATAAAAAGCTTGTAATCTGACAGTGTTATATTTGTTTTCAAGTAGTCAAAGAGTTCTTATCCTCCATTGGGCAGCTGGAACATACCCCCTTCCTCTGATTGGTGAAGGTGTTGATCCAGCTGAAGGGGTGGATTAAATGAGAAGGCTACCGCCCCTTCAGCCTGAACTCTTTCATGAGACTCTGACTCACGCAACCAGAAGTATTGCAAAATGTTCTCTGGTTGAATTAAGTACGTACATGTATGAAATAAATAACCCATGATGTGATCCTTTTTTAATTATGTTTATCTGGAGTCTCTTTGAACTCACACCAGGAACAGGCTGTTGGCCTCACTGAGATGATGACACAGGGAATAGAGTGTTCCCGCTTGTTGCTCGAGGTGTTTCTTGGGTTGCAACATGAGTTCAACAGAGCTGCAAAGTGTTTGCATCCACAAGATGCAACCTTTGCTCCTACTGTTGTCAGTTTTTTTTTTATTTTGCTGTAAAAAACGAATAAATACGTAAACGGTTTTAAAACTTCCTCATATGCTTATAGGTGTTAAACTGATGCAGGAGGCACAAGATGTTTTTTAAGAGATAAAAAGATAAAACTTTATTGATCCCACAGTGGGGAAAATTTGCACAGTTATAATGTTTAATTTTAAGTTATAATGTTTAATTTGGATTATAATGCCAATCATCTTCTTTTTTTCCAGTTCCTGTGTTTCTGAAGCAGAGAAAGAAAGTCCAGGTACGTGCATCAGTTAAAGTTGGCTTTTAGTTGATTTATTGCGACTGTTCAGGCAACACGCTTAATTTGAGTAAAGAGCAGCATGCGTGTCAGGTGTCAGCATGAACGGTTTACTTTGTACGGCCTGAATGAACTCCAGGTCTACCCTGGGCTGTTCCAAGACCGGTGTGTGTTGAAATCTCACGTGTCCGTGCCTCCTTGGCTGGACTGTGCTGGTTTTAGCTGGATCCAGTGGGTCTGAAATGTACAGATCATCTGTTCTGATGGGAGAGCTCTGTGTTTGTGAAGGGGGTTGATGTTTAAGATGCACATACAGGTTTCCTTAAATAAAATCTATTTTTTAAATATATTCCTGTTAGTTGTGTTAAGCTGCAGCATAATTAGGATAAACAGCTCATAAATCACTTTTCTTTTAGTAATAACTTTTAAATCAAAAAGGATGAATGTTATTCTAACAGAAACACTGTCCTGTTTTAGAATGAAGAAAACTGACTTTTAAAGTTGAACTTTTCTGTCCTGTCGTAGATTTTTTTTCTATTAAAATCAGACAACAGACAGTTAATCACTGATATGAAAGACTTGAATTATTCATTATTCAAGGTACAAAGTTTTCCTTGTTCGTGCCCCAACAAGCAGCTTCAGTGGTTTTTTTTTTCCCTCTCCAGACACTGATCATCGTGAGAAGAAATACAAGGCTCATCGTCAGTTTGGGGACAGACGTGGGGGGGTCATCAGTGCTCGCACCTACTTCTACGCAGACGAGGCGAAATGTGACAATCAAATGGAGACGTTCATAAACTGCATTAAAGCCTCGGGTAAGAAGAAGTCAAGTTAAAAAATTTTGCAATAAATGACATCAAGTCACTGCTTAAATAAACCCCAAAAACAAATAAACTGTAAATGAAACAGGGTTGAAGGTTATAAGGCAAGTCTGTTAGTGGTTGAGCTGTCAGTATCTTACCTGCGGTTTGAATAGGAAGGTCACAAATCCTCCCTGTTTCTCTAAATTGCTACATTCATACCGCAAAAAAAAAAATCCATTTACTTTTACATGAACCCGCCTTTAACAAATAAACATCTAAAACAAGTTCAGATTTGGTTGCTTCAAATCAAAAAGTTTATTTCGTACAGGTGGAGCCTCATCCGATGGATTTTCTGCCATAAAAATGACGGCACTCGGACGTCCTCAGTTTCTCGTAAGAATAACCTCACTACTTTAATTATCGACTAACTTAATCTGACATTCTTGCTCTGTTTTTTTTTCAGCTGTTAAAACTATCCACGTTTACTGATTAACAAGATAAAGTTTCTCTTAAAAGATGATAATCCACCACATTTGTTCAATGTTCATGGATTAGCAGCTTAATGTGGAAGTTATATGAAACTTGTTGAAACTTTAATGAATATATTTTGTCGGTGCAGCTCCAGTTTTCCGAGGTCCTGGTTAAATGGAGACAGTTCTTTCACTTCCTCGCAGCACAACAAGGAAAATCCGACATGACAGTTCTGGAAAAGAAGCTGGAGCTGGAGCAGCTTAAGGTGTGTCGTGCTCACACATACTCATCTAACACTGAGCTGAGGTCTTTCAAACCACTTCAGCTGATTTTCAGTTCTTTATTTCTGTTTCACTTATGCATTCATTATAAAGTAATTCAAAACTAAAGTTTTGTGTGTGTTTTGTTTCGTTCATTCATTTTTGTCCTCGCAGGAAAGCTTGGCTCATATGGGAGTTGGAGCTAAAGATGACATCGAGAACTGGTTTACTGGGGAGAAGTTGGGTTTATCTGGGTAAGTTTTTTGTTTATTTTATTACAGCAACACTGAGAGAATCACCACAGTCTTTGCGATTACCTTTTTGTTCGAATTTACTTGCTAAAAAAGAAAAAAAAAATCAGCTTTTGAAAAAATGGAATTTGTCCTCGCTTTATTTTCAGAACGATCGATCTTTTGGACTGGAACAGCTTGATTAACGACACAACAAAAATCTCCAATCTGCTCATGATGCCAAACCTTGAGGTCAGTTGTATTTATATGTATATTGATGTATAGAGGAGGTAGTTACAGCGGGTAAAATAAGTATTGAACACGTCACCATTTTTCTCAGTAAATATATTACTAGAGGTGCTAATGACATGAAATTTTCACCAGATGTCGGTAACAACCCAAGTGATCCATACATACAAAGAAATCAAACCATAAATGTCCAGAAATGAAGTTATTTGTAGTAATGTGGAATGGCACAGGGAAAAAGTATTGAACACATGAAGAAAGGGAGGTGTAAAAAGGCATGGAAAGACAAGACACCAGCTGAACTCTCTCAGTAATTAGAAAGCAAGCCTGCCCCTTGTCAGTGCAAGTTAATTTCAGCTGGTTCAGTCCCAAATGATGGCCAGGTATCACACAAGAACCATCTGATGATGGGTAAAAGTAAAGAGCTCTCTCAAGACCTTCACAACCTTATTGTTGCAAAGCATAATGATGGCATCGGTTACAGAAGAATGTCTAAACTTCTGAAGGTTCCAGTGAGCACTGTTGGGGCCATAATTCAGAAGTGGAAAGAACATTATCTCACCATAAACCGACCACGACCAGGTGCTCCTCACAAGATTTCTGACAGAGGAGTGAAAAGAATMATCAGAAGAGTTGTCCAAGAGCCAAGGACCACTTGTGGAGAGCTTCAGACAGACCTGGAATTAGCAGGTACGTTTGTTTCAAAGAAAACAATAAGTAATGTACTGAACCACCATGGCCTGTATGCACGCTCACCACGCAAGACTTCACTGCTGAAGAAACAGCATGTTGAAGCTCCTTTAAAGTTTGCTGCACAACATTTAGACAAGCCTGTGTAATACTGGGAGAATATAGTCTGGTCAGATGAGACCAACATTGAACTGTTTGGATGCCATAATACACATCATGTTTGGAGGTCAAATGGCACTGCACATCAGCCCAAAAACACCATACCAACAGTGAAGTTTGGAGGTGGGAACATCATGGTGTGGGGCTGTTTTTCAGCATATACTGGCAAACTTCAAATAATTGAAGGAAGGATGAGTGGTAAAATGTACAGAGATATTCTTGATAAAAATCTGCTTCCATCTACCAGGATGATGAAGATGAAACGTGGCTGGACATTTCAGCAAGACAATGAGCCCAAACACAAAGTCAAGGAAACTCTAAGTTGGTTTCAGAGAAAGAAACTAAAGCTGCTGGAATGGCCCAGCCAATCACCTGACCTGAATCCAACAGAAAATCTATGGAAAGAACTAAAGATCAGAGTTCATAGAAGAGGTCCACGAAACCTTCAAGATTTGAAGACTGTTTGTGTGGAAGAATGGGCCAAAATCACACCTGAGCAATGCATGCCACTAGTTTCTCCATACAGGAGGCGTCTTGAAGCTGTCATTGACAACAAAGGCTTTTGTACAAAGTATTAGATAAATTTCAGGACGTGTGTTCAATACTTTTTCCCTGTGCCATTCCACATTATTACAAATAACTTCATTTCTGGACATTTATGGTTTGATTTCTTTGTATGAATGGATCACTTGGGTTGTTACCGACATCTGGTGAAAATTTCATGTCATTAGTGCCTCTAGTAATATATTTACTGAGAAAAATGTTGACGTGTTCAATACTTATTTTACCCGCTGTATACCGTTTAAACAGTTCATACTGTGTGACACACAATAACCCTCTAAATGTTTTGGTTTTTCCCACTTATGATGTAGCATGGAAATGTTTTCATCGAGCTGATTGACAGTCCTACCCTCTGCAGGTGTACCATAAATGGTGTAATAAGCAGGTTGTCGTGTCGACAACAAAACAATACCGGTAAAAACAAATGAAGGCAACAGCATAGAAATAACTTCAGCTCAATGGTAGACAGTCTCACGTGGAAACAATTTGGAACTGATGAGAGCATCTTGGGATCATCTATGAGCGTAGTCTCATGTCCCGGCGTAAACATGGGAACACATTTTAGCCCCAGTGATTTCAAAACATCACGTTCTTTTGGATGAATGATGATCTGAGCTGACTTTAATTTGCTCTAAGTGATGGCAGCTTGCAGAAACATCAAACTCATTTTGAAAAGAACACACCAGAACAAAATGTTCTCGCTCCCTCTGCCTGCCGCGGGCGGTTTTGTGGGTTAATGCTCGTCACTGAGCGTGCCGGCTTTTTGTGTTTAACCATGTAGACAGGGCAGCTGGAACCTCTGCTGAGCAAATTTACAGCTGAGGAGGAGAGCCAGATGAAGAGAATGCTACAGAGAATGGACATTCTGGCAAAGGTGAGGCCACAAAAAACTTTTATTTGGATTTATCAAATGTTTATTTAGCATGCAGTAACATGCAGAAATCTAAACTCATATTTAAGCTTCTGGTAAAGAATAAATGAAATCCTGCCTGTGTTATGGTCATGTGCTCTGATTTTTGTTAGCATTAAGTCAGCTATTTTTCACGTTTGTTGAAAGCAGTGACACAAAAGTAGAGATGCTGTGGTAGACTTGGCAAACCAAATACTGAAATGCTGTTTTCTGTGCCTCAGCATGCTCTGGAGAATGGTGTCAGGCTGATGGTTGATGCTGAGCAGACGTATTTCCAACCAGCTATCAGCAGACTGACCCTGGAAATGCAGAGGAAGTTCAACAGAGAGAAGCCGGTGATTTTCAACACTTACCAGTGCTATCTGAAGGTGAGATGTCAGATTCCCTTTTACTGAACATAACATTGTAATTCTGATGTTCGCCTCAGGAGGTAAAATGTTCCTATTTTTAAATGTTACACTTTTCTTTAATATCATGTTGTGACTCATGTTTGAATTTAAGTGGCTGATTTTGTGATTACGTTTCTTTGTATCTTTTATAAGCTTTTACCATTGCTGTTTTTCAGGAAGCCTATGACAACATAACCCTGGACGTCGAGCTGTCTCGCCGGGAAGGCTGGTACTTCGGTGCCAAACTCGTCCGAGGGGCTTACATGTACCAGGAGAGAGCCAGGGCAGAGGAGATTGGCTATGAAGACCCTATAAACCCCGACTATGAAGCCACTAACAGGATGTATCACAAGTAAGCCTTGAGTTGTTGTCCAGAACCTGTTATTCCACTGGATAAAGGTTTCAACCCCAACCATCTGCCTTTCGCTGTTTGTCCAGATGTTTGGAGTATGTGCTGGAAGAGATAGAACACAGCAGGAAGGCAAATATTATGGTCGCAACTCACAACGAGGACACAGTGAAGTTCACCCTTAAGAAGTATGTTTTTGTCTCAGACGTGAAAACAAAATTAGTTACGCATTAAAACAAGGCATCAGTGGTAAAATACTACACTCGTCGCTCGATTATGCAATGTTTTTCCAACTGTTTTTCAGGATGAACGAAATGGACCTGTCCCCCACCGAGAACAAAGTTTACTTTGGACAGTTGCTGGGCATGTGTGACCAGATCAGCTTCCCACTAGGTGTGTTGCACTGAACGCAAACAGCTCGTTATGAAATCACAGAGTTTTTACGTCAGAAACTCGGGTGACTGAAGCAGCTCGGCCAGGATGCACTCAGACAGTCAATGACCTGAGAATTGGTCTGTGGATGTGTGGACAGCAAACAGGTTCTCAGTGTTCTTAACAAACCGAGATCAAACATTACGTCAGGTTCACTCGGCACGGGGAGTACGAAGCAATCTGAACAAATCCCTTCGTATTTACTCGTGATAGCTGCTAGTGTCCAAGTGCATCCTGGCATTTTCTTATCTGAAGCCGGGTAGCTTGACATGTTTTACAAACAAAATTATTTGTTGCAGGAGTTTACCAAAAAAATCTGTTCTATTTGCGCTTTTAAAATGAGACACAAAAGATGAGGCTTTCTTAAGATTTCTGAAGGACTCTGAGCTGTGATTGTAGCAGGTTAAAACAGTGTCCAATCCTCTTCCTTGTTAGCCACTCTCCTGCATGTTTTCTTTGTTTATTTGCTTCAACACACCCAAATCAGTGACTGAATTACCTCTTCAAGTTCTGCAGAAGTCTTTTAACCATCCATGCATTCAAATCAGGTGTTTTGGAGAAGAGGAACCTCTAAAACATGCAGGATGGTGACCCTCGAGGACCTGGATTAAATTGAAATAATCCTAAACTCAAAGGATGAATCAGTGTTGAGTCGACACGTGATAAACAACTCAACAAAGAAACAATTGTGAATTAGATCTTTAGTTAATTTGTTACCAGCAGCTTGTCACAAAGAAACAATTTATTCCCATTTATTATAGTCAAATCTTTCCAGGCTAGAACCTTTGAAATTACAGTACCCTCCAGAACCACCAGAGGATGCATTTTATCCCCCGTCCATAGAGTAACATTGTTATATTATACTGTATAACTCTGTGCTCCCAATTATTTAGCCTCAACAAAGAGTGATCATCATTTGTTCACTATGCACAATTATTTTATTATCATTATTTAATGTATTCATAAAACATAAATGTAACTGCTGCAGCATCTCTTTGTATGATCATAATTATTCTTTTAGTCTTGCAAAGATTCAGGATTCATTTATTGTCATATGCAGCTTAATAAGAGACAACAATGCAATGAAATTCTTAGGATGAGAAGAAACCCTTTGACTCGCTATAAGGAATAAAAATAAGAATAAAGACAAAGAATACAAAATTCACAGTTTGCAGTAGATGCACAAAGAGTAAATAAAAAAGATTTAGGGTAATATATACAGTGTAAAGTGAAAGAGAGACATTTTAGGAAAAGTTTCAGTGTGAGACACTTGCTGGTTCATTTACACCAATCAGAAAAATGCAAAAGGTGTCAAAGTGATCCTTTAGTGGCTCTAGTTTTAAATGCATAAGGGATAATAGAGTCTGACATACAAAAAATTGTATTTTAGCACCAACAAGATTATTCAAGAAGCTTTGAGCTGAACGTTTTTCACACAGTCATTAATCAGCTGAAGCATCTTTTCTATCGTGTCAAATTTTTACTGGATTGTTGTACGTTTCTTTATTAAATGACTGAACTATATTTTATTAAGGTTTAAAACTTTTACAGACTGTATCATTGATAAAATGTCACAGTATTCATGAGTTGAGAACATTATTTCATATATTCAGGTGAGAAAACAATCAGAGGTCAATCAGCCTCTATAGCTTTCATTGTTTTGTAAATAATTGCTGGAGGGCAATTGCTTATTAATGCTTTCAGTATACACCAGCATTCTTTTATTTTATGTTCATGCTATGTTTCCCGTCACAAACACACACCCCACAGAGACAAAACCTCTGTTCATTAAGGCGACAGTGAAGTGGTTTCAGACTTTTTGTCCTTTCTTTTTTGTTTTCGTGTTTCAAACAGGTCAGGCAGGTTTTCCAGTTTACAAGTACGTTCCCTACGGCCCCGTCAATGAGGTCATCCCCTACCTGTCGCGGCGCGCTCAGGAGAACCGTGGCTTCATGAAAGGCTCGCAGAGAGAGCGCAGCCTGCTGTGGAAGGAGCTGAGGCGCAGGTTTCTGGGTGGTCAGATTTTCTACAAACCCGTCTACTGAGCAACCAAATCCCAGCATACTGATTAAAGTTTGTTTGCATCCATTCCACTATCCACAGTGTGCTACTATCTGCTAGTTCTTCTGTGCTGTGGAAGGATAAAGACTTTCGTTAGAGCTGCTAAACTACATGAAAGAGCTGGAATCATATTTCACTTTAAAGTATTTCAAGCCTTTAGAAGAGATTTCTTTTGCTTTTAGAAATTGGTGGGTTAAAGAGACGGTTAAGGCTTTGCAGCATTGTTCAGTTTGCTCCAACAGGAGACAATCATTGTTACTTCCTGTTCTGTCCATTATTGGTTTAATTAACTTGGGATTAAACATCATAATCATAATCCTCAATCAAATCCATGAAAATAAAAGGAAAAAATAACAAAACACCTTGAGCCTATACCCCAATTAGTTTTGCAAAATGCACAAAAAAAATCTTCTATGAGGATTATAACGGACTGTTTACGCCTCATGACGCTGATATTTTCAGTTAATGGGAAAAGAATGAATGACGAGTATTTTGTGTATATTTGGATGAAAACATGGTCTTTCTTGCACATAACTTAAAATGAAGCACTTGTTTTATTATTCTCAAGTAGCTGTCATTTAAAAGTGCCTTACATTTGTAAATAAGATCATCTGGAGGTGATTAAACTTTTTCTGACCTAGTTGTATTTTTTTATTATAGACCACTCCAAGAAGCCTTCAGTTTGTTGATTTTTGTATGTTTATTGCTGATATTATCATTTATTTCAAGAGCAAATTATGTAGTTGATATTTTTGTTGTGTGGTAAAAGTATTCAAATGGAAAAGGGTGAGATCTACATTTGTGTGTTTAGCTTTAAATTGTGGTTTTAGTTATTTTGTGTGCATTTTCTGTTTTGATGACAAAATGCTCAGAGTGACTCAGTGTGATTCTGTCACAGTTCAGAGGCCAATAGTTTCCAGGTGGTCCTACCTTCACGTTTCTGTGAAGCGTCGGAGCGTTTCATGCTGTCGAACAAAAGCAGCGCTTCGAAGAGTTAAAAGGAAATTTAATGCACTTGCCTCTCTTGTTGTTTAGCAAGTATTGTGCAACAACTGCAGCATTGTTCCTGGAAAAATGAATGTTGACTTCATGAGCTACAAGGAAAACTATTTGAGACTGCAATTGGAAATCTGTTTATCATTCTAAGAAAAGTTGTCAGACTTAATAAGCCTTTTCAATTCAGTTGTAATGTCCTCTGGTTGTGATTGGTTGAATGAAATCAGAATTTTGTTGTATTAAAACACATGTAGTGTATTATAAAGCACACATTTAATTTGTTTCCAGTTGTAATGTTATAACTGTAAAACTATATTAAAAATTTTGGTTTTCATACGACCAGAAATAAAAAAAATATATGTATTTTTAATATTTGTAAAAATGTTGTTCAAGTTTTGATGAATCGTACAAGCTCTGTCTCTGTTTATTTTGCACTTGTATAAAAATGAATATAGTTGTGATGGACTCAATTAAATATGTAAATTGTTCTTGGACTTGACATTTTTTCATATGTTTTTGTCTTAAAGTTCAGGTATCGGTGATACCAGAACCACAACACACAGCTCGGTGAATCACACACGCACTGTTTGTTGGAACTAAATTATGTCTTTTAGATTTAGAAAACAAAGCTGCGCTGCAAAGACTAATGAGGTAGTATAACACAATAGTGCAAAACAATTTAACCATGTAAAGTGAAGAATATGATATTAATGTTCTGTTTTATTTATTTTAAGTTATTTTTGGTCAAACTTACATCAAATTTAAAGCATCCACCCAATGATTATTTTAAACACTAATATCCTATGGGAGGAAAGGCACGGAGGATTTTAAAAATCAGCTACCTATAAATAATGATTTAACATGCATTATTATAAACATATATACAGTTAGGTCTATATATATTTGGACAGAGACAACATTTTTCTAATTTTGGTCCTAGACAGTACCACAATGAATTTCAAACAAAACAATTCAGATACAACTGAAGTTCAGACTTTCAGCTTTAATTCAGTGGGTTGAACAAAATGACTGCATAAAAATGTGAGGAACTAAAGCATCTTTTAAACACTATCCCTTCATTTCAGAGGCTCAAAAGTAATTGGATAGATTAAATAATTGTAAATAAAATGTTCATTTCTAGTACTTGGTTAAAAAGCATTTGTTGGGAATGACTGCCTGAAGCCTTGAACTCATGGACATCACCAGACACCATTCCTTCTTTTTAATGCTCTGCCAGGCCTTCACTGCGGCTGTTTTCAGTTGCTGTTTGTTTGTGGGCCTTTCTGTCTGAAGTTTAGCCTTTAACAAGTGAAATGCTCAATTGGGTTGAGATCAGGGGACTGACTTGGCCATTCAAGAATATTCCACTTCTTTGCTTTAATAAACTGTTGGGTTGTTTTGGTTTTATGTTTTGGGTCATTGTCCATCTGTAGTATGAAAAGACGACCAATCAGTTTGGCTGCATTTGGTTGGATCTGAGCACACAGTTTGGCTCTGAATACCTCAGAATTCATTGGGCTGCTTCTGTCCAGTGTCACATCATCAATAAACACTGGTGACCCAGTGCCACTGGCAGCCATGCATGCCTATCACATTGCTCTGCTGTGTTTTACAGATGATGTGGTGCTTTGGATCGTGAGCTGTACCACACCTTTACCAGACTTTTCTCTTTCCATCATTCTGGTAGAGGTTGATCTTGGTTTCATATGTCCAAAGAATGTTCTTCCAGAACTGTGCTGGCTTTTTTACAAGTTTTTTTTAGCAAAGTCCACTCTAGCCTTTTTATTCTTGATGCTTATTAGTGTCTTTCAGCGTGCAGTGAACCCTCTGTATTTACTTTCATGCAGTCTTCTCTTTATGGTAGATTTGGATATTGATACTTCTACCTCCTGGAGGGTGTTGTTCACTTGGTTGGCTGTTGTGAAGGAGTTTCTCTTCACCATGGAGATTATTCTGCAATCATCCAGCACTGTTCTCTTCTGTGGGCGCCCAGGTCTTTTTGCATTGATGAGTTCACCAGTGCTTTCTTTCTTTCTCAGGATGCACCAAACTGTAGATTTGTCACTCCTGATATCGTTTCTGTTTTTGCAGCTTAAGGATGGCTTGTTTCACCTGCATGGAGAGTTCCTTTGACCACATGTTTACTTCACAGCAAAACCTTCAAATGCAAGCACCACACCTCAAATCAACTCCAGGCCTTTTATCTGCTTAATTGAGAATGACATAACGAAAGGATTGCCCACACTTGTCCATGAAATAGCCTTGGAGTCAATTGTCCAATTACTTTTGGTCCCTTTGAAAACAGGGTGGCACATGTTAAGGAGCTGACACTCCTAAACCCTTCATCCAATTTTAATGTGGATACCCTCAAATGAAAGCTGAATGTCTGGACTTTACGTCCATGTACATTGTATAACTATAACTTGAATATGTTTCAGTAAACAGGTAAAAAGACAAAATTTGTGTCAGTGTCCAAATATATATGGACCTAACTGCAAAGAGCACTATGAGTTCTTAAAGTTGCAATATACCTTAATTGATTTTTAAAATACATTATTATACATGTGAGCTTCATAGGGGCTGTTACCAAAACAGACAATCATGACCTGATATACAAATAATAAAAAAATCTTTAAAGTATGATGTAAAGCACCACTCCACATATATGTATTTTTCATAAAATGTGTTTAATTACTCCATCTTCAATGCTAATTCATAATAATAAAACAAGCTTTTTGAAAAAGTACTTTCCAGTCTTGTATAGTTACGTTCTGTTACTATAAACATGCAGACATGTTTTTCACCAACATGAACCAAAATCAGCCTCTGTGGGAGGAGAGAAAGCCTTTCAATGCACAGCAGTCAATAAGCTGTCTGTTCACAGAACGTGTGCTGCCTTCCTGGAAGAGGTTTAACCTGAAACAAATGCAGTTATCAAACTGACACAACTAACATAACAATCTCCCGGTAAGTAATGCTTGAATGCTTTGTTTGTTCTCTAAATTCATTTATCCTCTGGCTCACATATTCAGACTTTTTTCTCTTTGTGTAGGTCTTCACTAACTAGTAGAGATTTTATGTGGACTTGCATTAGTTTTTTAGTCGACTATAGTTTACATAGGGGTAGTTTTTATAAAATGTAACAATGTTGATGTGACAAAGATCTGTCAGAGCGGAAACGCCTTCTCACATGACATCCAAAGGCTTGAAATCACCCTTTTATCAAAGCTGAGCATCAGTTTGTCATCCAAAGCTTAGTTATAGTAGATCTTTATCAGCTTATGTTCCAAATGTCTTTTTGCTTGTTGTGCTTCATTAAATGAGACTATTCTTTGTGTGTGTGTGTGTGTGTGTGTGTGTGTGTGTGTGTGTGTGTGTGTGTGTATGTGTGCGTGCGTGCGTGCGTGCACGCGCGTTGAAATGGAAATTTGAGCACAGTACACGTTTCGAGTGTCAACACAGAGAACATGGGGGTAGTTTGCTGGATTTTTCCTCTATTGTTTTGCTTTTTTTCCCTTTCGTTGTAGACATTTTGCCACAGACTTCAGTTAACTTGCTTGTGTAAAAGATATAAAACCGGAAAAACGATAAAACTGTGCCAACATTTCTTTTTTTTAATATTTTTAATCACTTCAGTAGAAAAAAGAACTTAATCTTAGTTTCTTAATTTCTTCATCATCAGTGATTTTTTAAGTAAAGAGAAAATAGGAAAAAGAGAGAAAAACAAAGAGAAGTAATTAGAAAGATTGAAATAGAGATTAGAAGTAAATACACACCAAGAAAACACAGGACCACACACCCAACATCTGTCCGCTCACCTAAAAATAAATGGATAAATACATGGATGGCATGCATAAATATATACACATACCCATACATATATAAAGATATACATACATACATTCGTACATACTGTAGATATATATACACACAGACATATATACACACTCAGTGACGAGTCAGAACCCCCAGATCAGAACACCTGTTTGTGAGCGGTTGTGAACATGCGTGGATATACAAGATTTCTCCAATGGAATATTTAATAGTGACTGTGGAGGATCGGAGGCCCAACCCCCAAGACACGAGGCAGGAAGACCTGTGCCAACATTACTAATTTATATTGCACTCTTCTGTCTCTAGGTGTTCTCTCATTCCCAGGCTCGTCTTCAGCTTTTATTAATGTCCTGGATGACAGGATCGAAACACGCTATGATTCGAAGGTTGATTCCTTGGGTTTTAATGACCAACATCATGCTGGTCCTGCACAGCCTGTCATACACAAACCAAGTGACTATCAGGTAAACAAAAGAAAATAAAAACATCTCATTTATGTAAGTCCATATATTTTACTGTGTATTTTGTTCCCAGGGTCTCCCAGGAAGAAACGTGTGCTCTCAGTGTTTCAAAGTCGTTGCAACAAAGCAAAGCAATGTTGTCTCCAAGCTCTAAATCTGAGGAGTGCTCACCGAAGGGGAACATCATGTTCATGAAGACGCATAAGACTGCGAGCAGCACCATCCTCAACATCCTCTTCAGATTCGGGGAGAAGCACAAGCTCAGGTTCGCCTTCCCCGATGGACGCAACGATTTCTTCTACCCATCGCCGTTCCTCTGCTCCCAGGTGAAGGACTACGAGCCGGGGGAATGTTTCAACATTGTGTGCAACCACATGCGCTTCCACCAGGAGGAAGTGGCCAAACTCCTCCATCCAGACGCTGTGTACGTCACCATCCTACGCAACCCCGCGGACCTCTTTGAGTCGGCCTTCCATTACTACCACAGAGCGGTTCCCCTCACGTGGGGCATCAGTGGGGAGAACAAGCTGGCAGGGTTTCTGAACAATCCAGGGGCCTTCTACAGCCCAGAGGCTTTTAACTCATTCTACTTAAAAAATCTGCAGTTTTTTGACTTTGGTTTTGATAATAACCTGGACGCTGACGATCCTCAGATCGATGCAGGCATTCAGTACCTATCCAGTCACTTTCACCTGGTCCTCATAGCAGAACATTTTGAGGAATCTTTGATTCTTCTCAAGGATTTACTTTGTTGGAGCATGGAAGACATCCTGTATTTCAAGCTTAATGTTCGTAAGAGTTCATTTGTGTCCCAACTGGACCCCGAGATGAGGGCCAAGGCTTTACAGTGGAACTGGGCTGACTGGAAACTCTACCAACACTTCAACGCAACCTTTTGGGTCAGAGTAGAAGCCTACGGCAGGGAGAGAATGAAACGCGACGTAAAAGAACTGAGGAGGAGAAACGCTGAGATGAAGGCCATCTGTATCCAGGGTAAAAATGCAGTCGAGCCCCGAGACATTAAGAACTCGCGTTTCCTGCCCTGGCAGCCGATTGGAGAGAAATCCATCCTGGGGTACAACTTGAGACAAGATATTGATCCCAAATTCAGGACGATTTGTGAAAAAATGCTCACACCTGAAATACAGTATTTATCAGACTTGGGAGTCAACCTCTGGATTACTAGACTATGGGGTTGGCTAAAAGATAAAATTTACTGACTGTTTAGTTTTTAATTTTTTTAATAATTTAATTAGTTTGTGTTCGTTAGCTGTTTAGACAATGTGCATTAGATAAGAATGTAATTCTTTATCTAAACTGATCCTTATTTCTTCAGCTAAACAAAAGCTGAACTCAAGGTGCTTTGACAATGCTCTACTGTAAAGATTATTACAATTTTCAAACTAGAAAATAGATGTGAAACAGAAAGCTTTGTGTAGTTTTTGTTCTGTATAAAATATGTACTGCGCATTTGGCTACTTGTCCTATCATCAGGTGGGTACACATGCTTTCTGACATGTCTGACACTGTTTACGTCATTTAAAAATGGTTTTAAGCCAACTGTTTTAGTGGTTTCTCTGCTACTACACACCTAAGTTAAATGAATGGGTGATTACCACCCTTCTGAACTTGGAAGAGGTAACTCATTCATTTAATCAGGTGTGTTGGAGCAGGGAAACAAGTAAAACATGAAGGATAGTGGCCCAGAATTTGACATTTTGGATTTTCTTTTGGATGAGCTGTCAGTGATGATATATAAAAGAGAGATATATAATATCCATCTTTTAAAAATGCATTCATTCATACAAGATCACTGCCCATGCCTTAAGCCATCTGCTTTTCAGTGCTTGTAACTGTTTATTGTTCCCAGTGCTCTCTAAAGGGTGTGGTGTAGCGGTGAAAATGTTTTTTTGCTTTGTTCATGAATGTTTTAAAGTAACCTGTAAAGCAGCCTCTTCATTACAAAGTGGTTCCCAACCGACCTTCCTGCTAAAATAAAGGTTAATAAATAAACAAAGTAGTATTTAAAGCTGCTCGTTAACTCAGGTCATGGAATAAGCTCTGATATGTTTATGTTTTGGACATAAATATCAGTCAAACCAGTTTGAGAATATGACAGCTTTGCAGGGGCCAAAGAAAATTTAAGGTGCTATATTTTACAGTTCCTGACTAAATATAAGTTGGCTCAAAGTCCAAAACGCACAAGTCCTATTTTTTATTTAACACTTAAAGTAATAAAATTAAAGGTCTAAAATAGTTGTTATTTGTATTTAATCATTGAAAGCCTAATTAGATTAGACAAAACTTTATTGAACCCTTTTGGGAGGGTAATCTGGATCATTGGTTCCCAAACTTTTCAGCCTTTGACCCTCAAAATACCAGCAGCAGAGACCTGAGCCCCCAACTGCTGTTGGATCATAAACAGTTTTCACATCCATAAAAAATAAGAGCATAGTAACAATATTCATTATGCTATTTTTGTCCGTTTTAAGTACACTAACCTTACCCTTTTTTAACGAAGGCAATAATAATAATAATTTCTTATATAATTAATTCAGAAAATCTTCAGGACCCCACCTTGATGTTTGGGGACCCCATCCACTGAATAACAATCTAGCTAATCTTATAATAATAATAATAATATAATTAATTATAATAATCCAATAATCTAGCTAATCTTAATCTAAAAATTGTTATGGGTGCATGCACGTTTGCTTCTTTTGTCCAAGACATATTTAACCTCATGACACAAACACTTCAGCTATTGTTAAATAGACTTTATATGTAATAAGGTGTGAGATTTATTATTAAATGTTTAGGCCTTACTTCAGTTTTGTGTCAAATAATTGCTGCAGATAAAAAAGTGAAGATGCTTCCACAATTGTTGCACTGATGTTTAAGCTGTATTTTACGATTGATGGATTATAATTAAAAAAAAAGCAAATTTCATACGACATTGAGGCATTTTTAATACAACAATTGACAATCTGTGAGGGAATTAGAAATATTAACAAAGAGGAAGGACAGAGAGGAAGCGTTGCTCCATCTACGTTGTGGGTCTGATGTCACTTTCCACAGGTCCCCTGAAAGCCGCTTCCAGCTTGGATTTGACTCGGTGCACACTGTCAATGTTGTTAGCTGCTTGATGATTCAGAAGATGAACCCAGGAAGGATCTGGATCCATGATGACAACACTGGCACCGCAGCCTTACAAAACCCGGGCCGGGATCCTAATCCCCTGTTTTCTCCGTATAATTGTGCTTGATGTGCTTCCACAGCTTCTGCAATAGGCCGAATAAAAAAAGTCACATTAGACATCAACAAACGAGAAGAACATCCACAGGCAGTTCATTCAGGATGCTTGGTGAAGCTAAGCTAGCATTAGCGCCGATACGTTATGTCCTCTGCTTACAAGGTCAGGGTGGATAAAACATGAAGGAGAACACTTACTCCGCGATTCAAATACTCAAAAAGCGCATCGCCCCCTTGGTCGAACACTCGCTCAAAAAATACAGCTGAAACCACGATGGCTACAGCGAAAGTGGACGATCTCCTGAAGATAGCTTTGTACAGCGTCTTTGACAGCGCCATGTCGTCGGTGATAGCGATCACTGCGCATGAGCGGAAGTGGACATAGCTAACATCCGGTTCTGCCATCAGAATACGGAAGTTCGACTTATGTTTTTATTTTGAACTGTTTACGAACTACAGAAGAAGATAGCAGAGAGGAGGACTACAATTTTTTTTCCCGTGGTAAACTTCACACACACAAGGTAATGTAATGTGCAAGTTTGTTTTATTCATTTCGATTAAAAACAAAAATTTCAATACAACAAAAATGTATTTTGGCATCCCAGCAAGCATGGTGCTACCTCAAACTCTGTTCAAAATCAAGTTCCCCTCAGTTCATGATATTTTTTACGAGCTTATTGGTTCTCTAATAAACAATCTGTAGCCTGTCCCCGAGATTTAAGAATACAGCAACAAACAAGCACCAAGATCAATTCAAAATAAAACGGGGGAGCATGGGAACCTAGCAAGCAAGATGCAACTTTATTAAATTATGTTAAATGTAATGGATAAACTTCTAGCTCTAGCTAATTTGCACTCTGTGTTCATAGTTGAGCTTTTAAAGGAAACCACTAACCACTACTACAAAAGCCAAACTTCTAATTGCACACTCCTTTACTCTTTCCTTTACCTTCAAGACTGGAGGATAGCTGAGCTTAAACAAGAGACATTTAGCAATTCACATCCTCATTTTAAAGAAGCCTTTTTAAATTTGACATTTGCATCATTTGTCTATAGTTTTGTGACAATCTAGCAGTCTTTCACACAGTCTCTCGCTGATAACAATCACTCTGTTGAAGACAGATAATAAATGTGCCTCAGAAGCAGAAAAGGCTTTTGCAAAGATTGAAAGCTCCTCCTATACGGCTCTTTTCTTCTCCAGATGGATTTTTAGGAACTGAGACATCTTTTAAAGCACAGACACGGCCTTGTTTTAGGAAGAATGGGTAGAAGGATGGAGGAGAGAGAAGCTTTAGTTTGGGTGTGGTGCTTTTAAGTGTGTGTTTTGTGGGAAAAGGAGGATGTGTTTTGTTGACAAACGTGTGTAGTCCCTCAACATTGCACTTTACAAAACCCTGTGTAGTTAGCTCCCAGAACAGTTTTGTTATGGTCTGATCATTTTCTTTTTGCTGTCTTAAAGGGGGACGCCTCAGTTCTGTGAGTCCACACCATGGGGAAGAGGTATTACTGTGACTACTGTGATCGATCCTTTCAGGACAACATGCATAACAGAAAGAAACATCTGAATGGTGTTCAGCATCACAGGGCGAAAAAAGCCTGGTTTGACCAATTTAGAGGTGAGACTCGCAATTCTTGCATAGAAAAGTCGGTGAAATGAAACCACCTTCTGTTTGTAATGATGTAATATAAAATTATCAAATAGATCAGCTTTATTTAACAACCAAAACTGACCAAAACACCTTACAATAAAATCCTTAAGATATGATTAGCTTAAAACATAAATGTGTCAAAACACATTATATTATTATTGTTTGAATTTATTTTTGGGAAAAAGAGACAGATATAATAAGATTTTTTATTTATTTTTTTTGTTCCTGTCATTTAATTTATGACCAGTGTTTTTAAATTATTATTATTTTTTTGTTTTTAATGAATGAATGAATAAGTCATGAAAGAATTAAAAGGAGACCTTCAGAAGATCTAAGACAACTAGAATGTTTTTAAAAGCAGATTAATTGTAATAAACCTTCAAGTGCCAAAATAGTTTTTAAATAATTTTTGTATTTAACAGGAAGCCATTAGAGAGACGCTAACACAGGAGTGTTACAGGCTCTTTTCCTGCTAGTTGGCAGCAGAATACTGAACCAGCTACAGCCTAAAGAATAAATGTTTTCCGTTTTAAGTGGGATGCCAGTTCTACAGAAGTGGCCAAGAAATCATGTTGGACTCATCATTTAACTGAAGAAAGAAGCCTTTCAGCATTTCACCTTTAATACAATTAAGAATAGATGCAACCGATGTGGAGTCATTTGGATTAAAAGGCATAAAAATCTGTGTATGCGTGTATTTTTGTTGACCTATGACCCTGTAGAGGAGCTAATTTTAAGGATTTTTATGACTTTTTGATTGGCTTCTTTAATGTATATATTTATAGTGATTGTAAACCATCGTCGTCACGTAGTTTTATATAATTTTTTTTTTACAGATTCTGCAGCTGTTCTCTTGGATGAACAAATAAAGAAACCCTGCAGGTTTCTCCAGAAAGGTAACAAAATAGTTGTACAAAATCTTTATTTATGATCCATAACGTTACGTTTCTAACCGTTTTGAAATTTATTAATTTTTTTCCCTCCAGGAATTTGTGGTTTTGGTTCAAACTGCAAATTTTCTCACATGTCTGAAGAAGAGCAATACAACATAAGGAGACAGTTGGAAGGTATGCTGTAACCAGAAGATGGTGCTATTCCCCACCCCATTCTGGAATTTTTGACTAATGTCTTGTAAAACCTTTATTTTACTGTAACGTCAACATTGAACTCACAAATTCTCCCAAGACTGCTGTATGTTGTGAAACTTATTATTCTATTTCTTTAGAGGACAAACGACACGAAGAAGACTCTGAGGACAGAATAGTGTTTGGGCGAAGTGTAGAAGAATGGCTCTTGAAAAGGGAGAAGAGGCGAGCTGCTCTCAGTAAAAAAGGGTACTCGTGTTCATTTTTTTTTCACCACTCGTACCGACACACTTAGCATGCCTAATCAGGGTTTTTGTTCATTTATTTAATTCTGCAGAGATCTCGCTACTAAGGAAGACACAGAAGAGGCTGAAACAGAATGTGAGATACCTCAGCAGCTCCTCTCCGTCTCTGACCTCCCACCTTCGCTTTTACCTCCTCCTCCCGGTGGATGGAGAGTCAAAGTGAGCAGTGAATGGGGCTGAGAGGCGTTTTATTCTCGTGTTCAAAATGATTTTAAGTGGCTAATTTGTCTGGCATCAAAAGAACAGCGTGATTTAGAGATGGTTTTGTGTTTATGTTTGAAGTTTTGACTGTTTTTAGACTGAAATTTTGTAATTTTGTTTTTGAATAAAACAAAAATATGTTTCCGTTAGCATCCCCCCAGAAACATTTTAGTTTGATGCACATTTTTTGATAAAAGCTCTGTGACAATCCAGACGTCACCAGCTGACACTTATCAGGATGTGTTGGTGAATTCAATCAGCGGTCGTTTGTCCTTGAAGTGAGACTTCTCTCAGGACGTTTTAAAGGTTAAGTGTCACATTGTGCCCGAAGGACTGGGTTATGGCTGAGCAGATGGAAAGAATTGCTCCTTTTATTTTGTTCTTCTGGCGCCTCACCGAGGGTTTCCCTGACCTCCTGATCTCATATTTCTGGCTCAGCCGCTAGAGAAAGTGTTTTTCTCTTTCAAAATGGTAAAGATGGTGAGCTTGGGTTCAGGATTGATCTAATTTCTGTTTTTACTTTAAATATAGGGATGTTTATGCATGTATTTATTTATTCGCATTAGATGGTCATTAATCTTACTCCCTGTGACCCTGGATGAATGAATGCGTATAGAACATAAACAGATGGATGTTTTACATTTTTTAAAGCCATTTAAAAGAGCTTTGTGGGGGAAAAAGTATAACCAATACTTTGTTTTAAAAATCTGTTTAAAAGGCCTCTGGAGAAATTTAAAGTTTATGTCTAACAGGACCAATGAGCTAACAGCTTGTCCAAATCCAGCTAAATCTGCCTTCGAACAGCTCCAACCTCCAAAATGAGTTGTTTTAAGACGGTGAAATCTGTCATGGCAGTGGGTCTGCTTGGACTGTATTGTAAAGCTAATAATGGCTTGTTTGTGCAGACCCACTGCCAAATCAGCTCCTCCTAAAACATCTTTGATTTTCAAAATTTCATAGCGGTCCATGCAAACTTAATTATTTAAATGTAAAAGTATAAGAAGTGCTCCAGTTTGCTTGTTTCAATGTGAAACATTCAAAGAAATCAAGTGTTGAATTTACTTATAATTTAAGTCAACTGGTTCCACTAAACTGATTTAAGTAAGTGTAAAACATTATTTTAAAGAAAATGAGTTAAGTTGCTTTACTTTTACTCAGCCTCATCAAATAAATTCAACATTTCATTTTTAGAGTGAAAAAAAGGAAGTCTAACATTTTCTCTTTGCCCATCTGAATCCGGGCCTCATAATTTCATCATCATTACAAGATTTATTCTCATTTTCAAGGCAATGTGAGAAGAACCTCCTTGTGAGCTGAATATATCCTGGCACAGATGCTGCGTATGATTATACATGACTGAGCTGTTTTTAAAAAGTCACGTCCATGTTTGCTCACCTGGTAGGAATGATTAAAGGGGGGATATTTTTGTAGTTCATTTCTGATAAGGTTTTTTAATAAAGTGTTATTTGAGTTCATTGTTTGTTCCAAATAAAGACTTAAAGTGCGTGACATGTATTATGCAACGTGGCTGTGTCAACAGAAAATGTAATGTGCAAGCAAGCAGAACTGGAAGGAGCTGGTAAGAACTGATCAAAACTATCGATCCACAGATATGCTAAAAAGTTTTCAGTGAAAAACATGTTTTGTACTTTTCCATTTGTCCAAGATGCACCTCACTCCAGCAACAGGTTTTCATTGGTTCCTGACGTGCCATAGTAACTGTGAAATGATTTGTTGCTTTCTGTGTGATGTCATCTCTATGTGTGTAAATAAAATACAGATTACGACCACAAAGGTCAGAACTTCTTTTTGACTTCTCTGAACAACAACTCAGATAAGTGATAAGAACTTCTCCTTTGCAAAGTGTATCTCTAACTCACATTCTGGTCTCTGTTGTCAGTTTTTAATGTTCGGTCCGGGATGTTGTGTGTATTTTTGAGTTGCCAGGTCAGAAAACACCGAACAATTTCTAAACCACAATCAAGTAACTATGATACCTTGTTCTGAAAATCTTGTGTTTATCAAAAATAAATTTGACTTCACATCACAGTCTATCTAAACACCTTGAAACTCGACTCTGTCTCTTTAAGAACCTCCTACCATTTCCGACACTCCCACTTCAGCACGTCTTCACAGCAATGCTTTGGGGGAGGGATGCTCTGTGGGGCCGGAGCTCGGCTGCAGACTGAGCTCCAGGGAGGAGCTTTGTACGAAAAGGCGGTGCTTTGTAGTGTTTAGGCAGCTCCACATGTCTACCATAGGAGATTCAAGGATTTCTCAAACAAGCATGAACGAGTCAAAGCAACTCTGTTTTGGATGAGAGACTGACGTTATAACATGACAACTAAAAAAAATGTCAATTTTGTGTAATTTAGTCATTTATTTATTTGTTTATTAGTGGATTTGACACGGACGATGCACACAGAATAAGTCTGTAAGCGATGCGCTGCACAAATAGTATGTAGCTACGGTTAATTTGCTACTCCAGGCCCTGGTTGGGCATTTCTAAACGTTAAAATACACAATTTATACAACAAAATACACCAAGAATACCTACCTATTCTGCCTACATGTTGCAACCTTCAAATTCATATTGTATTGTATGCATTAAAATGCATACAATTTATAAATCGGATACAATTAAAAACAAATGTTTTCCTCTTTACAAATTCATAAACAGCTTTGCAACCTCCAAATTTATATAAATATCTGTGCACAACCTCGGTACCTCTCCATCCTCACACATTCAGCCAACATACTAAAAATTGTAGCTATAATATTAACTCACAATACAGTCCCACACAGACTTTTTCATTAAATCTGAGTATTAGAAATGATCACATCTTTGGTTTTCCTTTAGCCAAGATTTAGTCATGTGGACAAACTTTTTTAAGTTCAGGTGTAGCTTTTCCTTGCGGGGGCAATAAGTTCCATAATGTACTTTGGTATGAAAAAGTTGTCTGACCAAACGAGGTTCTACATGAGGGAGTTATACCATTGTATTGTAATAATCCTCTGTGATCCTGTAGCTGTTTTACCTTTGTATAAATGAACTAAATGGATCAGGTGCTTAGTGATACATTTAAAAAGTGATGCAAAAACATCCATCTTCTTCAAAAGTGGAGCGATAGAATTTAAATTTACAGGAGCTTGTTTTGCATGTTTTTCAACTCTGATGAAAAGCAACAAACCTTCTCTTGAGGTCCACAGAGAGCTTCTTTGTTCATGCCACCGCCTTCCTCCAACAGCTTGTGTTTGACACATCTCTGTTCTTTAAATAAAACCGAGCGCCCACTCACCTCCGACTGTGATGACACCGACTGAACCCACCTGATTTCACTCTAAAACTACCACTAATGCTTCAGCTTTAATGTCTACTTTTGCCTCTATATGTGGAATTGGAACAATTTATTCTAACAAATATATTACATATTTTGCGTTCTTTTTAATCATGCAACATTTAGAGCTTCAGTGAAAATAATCTTATGTCTTTGCTTGCATCCATGCAGAAAGAGTAATAATGTAACTGGGTTTTTTTGTTTACAGCAGATTTTTTAAAAATAAAGATTTATAATTCAAATAATCAAATTCTGGCTTTGTTGTTAAACAGTGCCACTTTTCATAGATGCTAAACACAAAAGGATACATTAGAGCAATCTTTGAAATGAATGAGACAGGCAGTGAAAAAGGCGACTGATGATAAAGAAAATCATCCCAAATTCTGACTCATCTGAACGTTTGATTTTGTTAAAACAAAGATTTCTATTCTGTTTTGTAATATCTAGAACCCTGAATATATCTAGATATTTTTACAAATGGTAAAGTGTACATGTTTTGCCATTAAAAGATGCAGTTTTAGGTTCTCATGTCCATTTATTAGTCAGAACAGAGCTCGACAGCAGCTTGGTTTTGTTTTATTGCACTTGTTTTTATTGGACGACATGCATCTCGACACCGCTTACAATAGTGCTTAACTGATGCAGTGACCTTTACAGTAAAATCAAAGCAAAAACCAAATAGTGCAGATCATTGTGTAGACGTTAAAACCACTGATCTAGTCTCACAGTTGGATGGCACAACATTTACTACCTGGAAGGTTTAGACCTTCCTTTAAGGGGAAAGAAAGACAGATGATTACACATCTGTCATCTCATTTTCAGAATTAGTTTAGGTTCAAATTGATTTAATAAAAGTAAAAAAAGCACTTTATGAGACTTTCTGGACTTCAAAAAGTTGCGTTTTTGAAACTGCGAAACAAACAAAAGGCACAAAAACAAGAAAAGATCCACATTCCAAAGAAAAATTCTAACATTTAAGACAATTTGACGACAAAGTTGTACTCATTATTCAATTAAAACACCTTAACATAGAATAGGACAATATTTGCTAACACAGTGTGTCTTGAGACAAGATTTGGCACAGTGACTATATTTTACATCCATATAGATTTCCATATCTTACATGATATGTTCACATGAAGAGGTAAAGCGATTACATCAAATGCTACATGAGTTAAAATGTCTGTTTTATTGCCAGAGTGATTCTTCTCGTCCCACACTATTCCTTCGTGACATGGAGCTTTGATAAACTTCAATAGAAAAAGAAATCATTTGGTCAAATTTGTCACATTTGACAAATATTTGTCAAAAAACAAAAACATTCATTAAAAATTAATCACAGCCTTGTACACAAACCTGCGTATCTGAATGTTCATTCAGCCAGAAAACTATACATCGAACGCATGATTTATTTATTTTTTCGCATTTTTTTGTTGGTTTATACAAAAAATATGCAGATATCCATAACAAAAATAACAAAGATTTAATGCTTCACTCGTTCAAGTAAGAAAATATAAACATGTTATAATTTTAAATTACATGTCATTTTGGTGGGCCATGTAAAAGCCAGAAAAACAACATTTTTTTTCATGATATGTTAGAGTATTGTTCACAGCATACTGCAAAGTATTTGATATTGTTTGCACGTTCACAAAAAAATGACATTTACAATAAAATGTCAAATACTGAGACTTTTTTTACATTTTTTTGCAATAATCACTTTACAAATTGCATAATTATTTGAACACGTACTTCAAAAGTTGATCTCACTCACATTGAACACATTTATTTCTTGTACATGCAAGTGTGCCATAAGAGTTACTTCATCTGCTATAAATATTACATTATACATAGATTTGTCTAAATACTAATCTATTTATTCTAAGCTTGTTTAGCTGATTCTGCAGCTAAAGCGATGTTTACTGTCCAGCTTTTTGACTCAATTTGTTGCAGATGCACAGATCTGAAATATGCAGCTCAGTTTTTGCACGTGTTTCATGTATTGCAGGCAGAATTTGAGCAAAGAAATATGTTTATTGGTCAAATGATCAGCTGTTATCTTTGAATCTGGTCTTTTACAGACACTCCCATGCTATCATTTCATGTTTCTTTGAGAGGTTTAGCGATTCTTTTTCTCATCTATTTCAGAGTTTTTCGGCTCAGCTTGTTCTTCACCCGGCAGTGATTCACATTTCAGCTGATGATACACCTGTTTGATTGAGAAAGCAATCTCAGTCAGGAACACTCGATGCGAGCTTTAAACCAGTGTGATTATTTTCAGGAACCTGAGCCCCGTTCAGTGGATTGTTTTTTGTGTTTTGTTCTTCCTGACATGCTGACAAGCACATTGCACGTGATTTGGGATAACAGCCTGAGTCTGCAAGTCTCCAAATCACCCTCATTTCAGCGTCCTGCCATCGTTTACGTGTTTGTTCCACTCCCTCGGTTTTTGCACTTCTCAATATAAAACACCACTTTACAACCAGACTACCCATTTAAACTATTACTTTACACTTTAAAATACTCAAAAGACACATTTCAAACATTGAAGCTGACTCAGTATTTGGCAAGAAGTTGAAACAATAAAGTAGTTTTGAACTTTTGAAGTAGGTTTTGTGGAAAGCTTATGAACAGTAAATATTTTACCTGTTCTAGATCCCTCTATGAAAAATCACAGTTTAGGAAATTTGGTTTGAGACCAAAGTGGATTTCTGTTGTCTCGTTTTAAAACTCTTTTTTTATTTTATCAGTTTCATATCACATGGTTATTTGCATAAAATGTTAAGACAGCATAATTAGCTGGAGCATTTCTGGTACATGCTGGAGCACTTTGAACAGAATTTTGTGATATTTTTGTCTGAATAACTGTGTAATAGAAAAATGTTGCATCTGTATAAACTGCTGTAAAATATTTGAGTGTTTTTAGACTTTAAAGACTGCAGCTGTCCACCTTGGTCTTAGCTTTGATTGGACCTGTCATTAGCTTGTTAATTTGATCAGAATTAAATTTGATTTCTCCAAACTGAGATTGTTCAAAGAGCTGTTGACAAGCAGGACATTAATTGTTCATAGCCTTTCACTTAGATGTGACCAGTCTATGAATGTTCTTTTAGTTGTTTGACTTGTTATACTCATTTATAATGTAATACTAATGCAAATTACGTTTACATTGAGTGAGCTGCACAGGACATTTGTAGGAAATCAAAACTGAGAAATTACATTCAGTTTAAGGAAAAGTGTCAGCCTGAACACTGTGTAAAACTAAGTTTGTGGGTTTTTTACCTTAATGTGGTGGAAGATGAAAATCATTTTGTTCTTTACTGTCCTCTGTATTCTGATTTAAGATATTCTCTATTTGAATGTATAAATAGATGTAATGCAGATGGATTTTGGTTATCTAATGTTAGTTGGATGTATGATGGGGACACTTTTGCATATGTTATTTTTGTCTGTGAAGCTTGGGAAAGAAGTCAATCAATCAATCAATCAATCAATCAATCAATCAATCAATCAATCAATCAATCAATCAATCAATCAATCAATCAATCAATCAATCANTCAATCAATCAATCAATCAATCAATCAATCAATCAATCAATCAATCATCAATCAATCAATCAATCAATCAATCAATCAGTCAATCAATCAATCAATCAATCAATCAATCAATCAATCAATCAATCAATCAATCAATCAATCAATCAATCAATCAATCAATCAATCAATCCCAAAGTTCCTGACAAACCCAAGGCAAACAGTAAGTTAAAGACCGCAGATAAATTTAGACACTATTTGACATGAAACAGGTCACTGTTGGTACTTTTTAAAATAAAATTCTGAAACCCTAAAGCAGTTAATTAATGATTTATAAGCCTGAAATAATAACCTGATTATTAACTGTGCATTCATTCTTTATGAGGGTAGTGTTGTTGTAAAGAGGTTCAAACACTCAGGTCTTCCATTCAGATTAGCTTTAGATGGTTTCTCTTAGATAAAACACAAATTCACAAACACGAAATGTAACACTTTTGATTCTTTTCTTTCATAGTTTTTGGAAAGTTGCATCTGATACTGTTCACATAATTTTGTTTTGTTGGCGCAACTTATTTATAAAATTAAATGGTTAATTATTGTATTTTTTAACATATAATTTTCATAGATGAGCTGTAATTAATAATTGAATTGATATGTATTTTACTTTTATCATCTGTCATATATTTTGAATATTTTCATTGTATTATGTGTACGTATTTTTAACGATGGACCCCAGGAAGAGTAGCTGGGTGTAAGGCCCAGCTGATGGGGATCCTAAACAATAAACAATAATGTGCCTAACAAGCACCTTTCAGAGTGTGTTGATGTGATGTCATGACAAGTTATTAATGACAAAAAATGTCAACATTATGACAGCTTTACAGGTGAAATGATCTGAATTTATGTACAAAATGTAAGCGTAAAAGATTTGCTCTATGTTGTGATCTTTTATTCCTACACTGGCTAACAGGAAGCAATAATCAGGGCTAATTATTTCTGACTAATTATTTCTTATCTTGTGTTTGGGATTAAAGAAGGCTGATTTGTTGAAAGAGAAAGTGAGCCAGTATGATAATCAGGATAACAAGTAAGAGATAAAATGCATCAGAATGCATCCTTAATTTAACAGCTAATGATTTTAAATTGAAAATTACAAATATAACCTTTGTTTTGCTTGATCGCAATCATTTGATCTTTTTTTTTTGGTGCATTACATATAGAAAAGTTCTCAATACTCATAAATCACTTTCTGAGCTCTAAAATTTTAAATTCCTGCTTGTTTTTTTAGTTATGTTTCTGACACTAATCAGCCCTTGACCTATCTTTCTATCATTCTTTTTGTCATCGTAAGATACATAATCTCACACAAAACCACAATATGACATCATTTCATCCTGTATTGTAGAAAGAAGCTCTGATGTTATTGTCATGGGTGTCAAGTGTGAAGAAAACCAAAAAATTAGAACACATTTTGGTTAACATTTGTTCATTTTTTTTTTCATTTTCCCATCCATAGATCTTCTTTGTCCTGCTGGTGCAATTTATTTACTTCATACCTCTCCGGAGCATTTGATTTGCTGCAATGAGCATGACGCTGATGATAAATGCAATAGCGAAGGCACAAATCAGGCTTTTACGCACACACGTGTGCTTTTCCTGCTGCGTGGGGCTCGCTGTGGAGAGATTTACAGACGAAAACATTAGCACAGCTGTGAGTCTCAACAAAGCTTTAACGTGTCGGGGTGCATGAGAAGGCTTTTTAACCAAACGTACTGTCGATGTCCACGTGAGACTCTGGACTGTTCAGGTGGTTTTCTTCAGTCATGATGATGTGCTCGATGTCCTTCATAGTGAGATGGTCGCGGAACGTGTCGTACAGCAGCCTCTTTAACTCGTCCACTGTCAGTTTCTGCATGTCGCACTGTAAGAGAAACCAAGAATGGTTTAATGAGAAAAGGAAAAAAAAGCTTCTCTTCAGTTTCACTCCAACATTTTTATGTTTTCTATTTGAATTTGCCATCATAAACCTCCAAAAGACAACTGAAATTTTGCTTCCAACAATGAATCTGCCACATGGATTTGAGACTGCATGTTTAAATGCTCTTACTGAATTAAAAAAAACTCACAAGAACAGACATAAACAATTTAATATTAATTTAATAACCAAATAAATGCAATTAAGACAAATTCTGCATTTATTCATTGATATTTTTTGAAGTGTAGCTGGGTGGAAAGTTATGACTAATCAAAATTTTACCTATGATAGAAACATTATTGGAAAACCTCAGTTTAGAAAAATACTGTTTCTTTATGATCAGACTGATGAGCTAATGGCTAGTCTATGTTGGGCGAAGACTGACCTTTACAATGTGAAAATGTTAGGATATTCCTGCTGACATGGCCTCAGATTCAAGGCTGTAGGAAGTATGGGTGTGGAGGGTGCTGCAACACCTCTTTGATGAATGCCAGAACAAATGCACATTCAAACGCAAAATAATTAATAGCAATTAATTAATTCTGCTGTTTGCACTTGTAAAAACACAGTAAACAGCTGGAAATGTAAAGGTCTATAAATTACTATAAATTACCTTTTGAATTAAATTAGAGTTGTTCTTTGATCGTAGACACATTCAGACTAGCTGTTAGCTCACCAGTCCTGTCAGGATTAAACTTTGTTTCTCCAAACTGAGGTCTTACAACAGGAATTACTGCCTCATCGAAACTTAATGCCCTGCTGGTGGTGTAGCTTGACAAGGTTATCTGAAAACTTTGTTTAACTGACAATAACACTGAGTTATTGCTGCTTAAATGATGACTAATGACAGCAGCTACCTTCCAAAACACTGAATCAAAGTCCGCTCCGTGGAATTTATCAGGCATCCCGGCAGCCGACAGCTTAGGGCCGAGCAAGGTGACAAACTCTTCAAAGCCAACTTGGCCGTCACCTGATGGAACGAGAGGCGCAAACATGTCACCGTGGGGGAGGGGAGAGAGAGAGAGAGAGAGAGAGAGAGAGAGAGAGAGAGAGAGAGAGNGAGAGAGAGAGAGAGAGAGAGAGAGAGAGAGAGAGAGAGAGAGAGAGAGAGAGAGAGAGATGTACCATCCATGTCCAGTCTTTGGATGATGACCTCCAGCTCCACCTCATTCGGCATGTAGCCCAGAGAGCGCATGGCCATTCCCAACTCCTGCTTTGAGATAAAGCCATTCCCATCTCTGTCAAATACCTTGAAAGCTTCACGGATCTCTGTGGGAAAGAAAAAAAAAGTTATCACTTAAACTGTGCTTTTAGTCTTTCAATGCTTTTGTGGAGAATTCAATGGGTTTTGGTCAGAACTTGATGGTCCTTTCTGTCTGAAAAGCAAAAGTGCACTTTGTGACTTTTTTACAAGCTCCAGATCATTTTAACAAAGCAAAATGGTTCATTGTGAGTAAACCGCACACATCATGCAAGATTAAAATGCACACCAGTGCCACAAAGTGCCACAGAACCATGGTCTACAGCAAGTGAACTCCTTGTCAATCAAACATTTTTAGTTTTTTTTAAGCCTTCAGAGCAAGGTAAAAGTACAAAGGAACTAAACTAGGAAGAGAAAGTTATACTGTGATTAAACAGAATTGAGCTTGTTAACAAAAATAAAAAGAAGAAGGGAAAAGATAAATCTTTGTATGATTATAACATTGCAGGTCTATTTCAATGACGTATAGGATATAAATTTAAATGTCAGTATCATTACTGCAAAAAACAAAACATTGTGACAAAATGTTGAGAATTTTACAGCTTGATTAAAACATATTGACGTAATTTGCTCTAAAAAGATGCACATGCCTTTATGAAACAGTTTTAAAATTTTTTATATTAATCAAAACAAATCAAACACAAAGATTATGAATGTTGCTTTCCATACGAAATTGTTTTATTTTATCTTTTACCCACGTTTAAAAAAGCACACTCTCTTCACCAGTATGACCGTTTCATTTGAGCAGAAAGCTGTGAGCCGGTTTGTGTTTGTAATTAACAGCAGATTTAGTAAATTTTCATTTGGCTCCTGTCCTCACTCTGCATCAGAGTATTCTGTTTGATGTCGAGGGGGTGGGGGTGGGGGGGGCAGAGTTACATATCAAAACGCACAACGGACGTCAGTGCTTCTTTTTGATGCAGATCCTCAAACAAACAAGCTGATTCAAGAATGGCTGAGCGTCCGTTTGATAAAGCAAGAATTTCAATTAATTTAAACTCTATCATCTACACACCAGTGCATGAATTAGTCATGAAAATGAACAAGAAGCTAACACAGAGAAGAAAGGGGAAAAAAAACCTGATCAAAATTTGTATAAACTATTAGAATGATTAAATAAACAACTAAAGGCCTTGCATTTCTTGAAGGAATACTCGCCCGCCACCACATTTCATGTCATGAGTTTTAGGCTGACATCATTTTATGTTGAGAGATGATGAAGTTATAACTGTTGTGGTCAAACATTTTCTTACAATACTGTGAGACGGGTCACGCTCAAAGTATGTGCTGAGAATGTCTCTTACTTACTTACACGTCAAATTTTAGCTCAGTGTCAGTAAAACCCGCTGAATTATAGTCATTTTTGTGTTTTCTAAGGTCCGTTAGCTGAGGCAACCTTGAAGCTCGTCCTTTCCTAAATTTATGTTTATAAAAATACGTTTTGCATCATAATGCTGAGAACCTGCATCCTAATTTTGAGCACACGAGCTTTAGGCTGGTCGTTCTTATTCAGAGAATAGACTTTGAGCTGAAATTTTAATTTAAACAAATTATAGAATTGTATTTTTTCATCCCAATTGCTCAAAAACATGGGCTGTGTCTTAATTCATGGGTTGCAGCCACATTTGTCGGTCGTTTACGTCACAGCTCCAACAAAACCCTGAAAATGTAGACTGCATCTGAGTATCCTACGTGGCCAGTGGTAAAATTCATTGTGTTGTGAGTAAATTAAACAGAAAAAACATAGACATCTTAGAATTTTTGTTACATTTTATGGCTGAGTATTTATTTCTCTAGTTTTTTGTGTGTGGATTTTTGAAATTTATCATGGGCCGAAGAATGCAAGGCAAACAACTTAGCAGAAGACGCTTTTGATGCAATATATAAAAATAAAGGGAAACTATTTAGACAAGAAGAAACACCTGCAGGAAATACAAGAGGAAACAGGTGTGCAGGAGTGGGGCTGGAGGCAAGACAGCAGGGCAGAGATACACAGGGGAACACAGAAACGGCTGCGTTTCCATTGCAAATGTGCGCAAAACTTTGTCGATATTCTAATGTCGAAAAACACAATTTCGCAATTGCGGTGTTTCCATTACGTAAGAAATGCTATTAAAATTACATGTGCATAAGTTTGCTCTCACGATAGTCATTACAAACATGGCAGCAATGGATGTAAACACATTGCCTATTGCTATCACGACACTAGCGCTCATCATCAGAGGAGACGTCGGCGTCTTATCGAGGCTTTCCAGCGACAAACTCCTTATACTTGGGAGTGTCTATGTATGCGGTGTTTTTTGGGAAATTGTAGTCGGTGAATTTACCACTTTCTTTTACTACTTCGGTGATTTTTACTTCCTGTTATCTTCTTCTTCGTTGTCTTTTTTGCAAATAGAAACAGCCGGTTCTTGATCACGTGACTCCTGCGATGCGAAAAAAGTGTTTCCATTGCAGTTTTGCCAAACACATCAATTTCAATATGGCCGAAAAACCACCTGATCCTAGCGCAAAAACATTTTGTCGAAAAACTTAATTTTATTTCCAAAATTGACGTGTTTCCATTGAGCAAAATTGTTTTCGACATTTTAATTTGCGCATTTTCATGGTCAATGGAAACGCAGCTACTAGAAAAACTAAATCAAAAAGACAGATCGTGACATAAAATGCAGTTACAAGTACGGACACTGAAGTTTTCTGTAGACTAGACCATCTCATTTCACAGCTGTTTATGCAGACGACATGAGCAACCAATGGCCCACGTTGGCCGCGGTCAACCCATGAACAGAGACAAAGCCAACGTTTGTTTTTATGCTTATAAGGTTCTACTAATCCAAAATAGTAGTGGTGTCCCAATACCAGTATGTTTACAAGTACTCGTACAAAATGCTATAATACTTTGAACCGATACCAATAACAGTATTAATATTGGGATAATGGTGCTGATACTCCACTGAATGTGTTACAGTTTATATTTCAAGTGAAAAGTTTGTCAGCTCCATGTTTAAAAAATGTTTTAAAGGGGACATATAACATATTTTTAAGCGTCTTGCCTTCAGTGGCGAGTGCTAAATATTTGAGCCTCAGATAAATGATGAAACGTCAACGTGAGCCAAAACAATTAGTCATCTGTTTTTTAATCATATTATCTGCTTGGCTATTGCTTATTAAACATTCATTAGTTAAATTGTGTTTATGTTGAGAACTCATCTGCACACACAATCTAATTGTGCCAACACATTTAGCAATGTGAGCACACAAGTGGGCAAGAGCAGCCCATTTGTCTTGTGTACATGAATTACAGCAGTTTATTAGTGATAGACTGTAGATTGTGGTTTAAATGGTGTCAGTCTGAAATTATATGATATATAACAAAAAAGATCAAGAGGAAAGTAAATTGAGATCCTTGTGGTCAGGCGACATGGTCTTTACCATTCTTTGACATATCAGGTACAACATATTTGTCTAAATTACAGCCTTGCGCCTCCGCTTGAGTTTTTCTTATCTTCCCTCGGCACCATCCTAGATTCAGTGTCGCGACCTCTGGTGCCGAGGACAAATAATGAATTCACTGAGCCACCTGAGCAGCGGCTGGACTACTGATGCTTTTCACTAGAATATTTTAAAAAAAGTTTGCCTTTGATTCAACCTTTCTATCCAGAAATATCTCATCATGTTTCCTCCCTTGTTTGTTGTTAAATGTTGAGGACACATGTTTAAGTAAATGTACAAGGAGATTGGACAATTTTAGTCAGCTGCAAAATAAAAAAAATATTAAAAAGCACATTCACACAAACATGGGCAACAACAGTAATACCTTTTTTACCTTCAGCAGCAGGCGGTAATAAGTGTGAATGCACTTTTATGAAACTTGAAGAAGACCAATGCAATCTGGAAATGCCTGCTTTAAAACAAGCGCAAATAATTGCAAAATGAAAAAATAAGTAAAGGCTACAGAACAGGGAAATACCAAACTGAAACGATGTCTTGGATCAGTGAATCAAAGTAGCCTTGTGCTGTGTGGAGCTGTTATCTAAAGTCAAGGTGATGATTTTTTTCTGTTGTGTGCTAATTTGAAGAAAATCATGTCAGCACTTTTCCCTGAGCTGCAAAAAATGAAGGTCTGAAGGACAAAAAAACCCTCCCGGAAAACAAGAAACAAGAAAGTAATCCTTCTATACTAGAGAAATGAAAAATAAAAATAAAATAGTCTACAAAATAAAATATACAAGTCATGTATCTAATAACCAGTGATAAATTTACTGCAGAGCTGTGAGGAAAAATAATCAAAGAGAAATCCAAAAAGTGGATGAGTTTAAATATCTGGGAGTCATTTTAGATCCCCCC